TGAAGTAATCTAAAAGGCCATAGCTTATTCAGTGATTGGTTGTAATAGTCCCATGATTTTTAGCCATTTTGAGATACAATACTTTAACAAAGGTGACTTTATTTTTTTTTTGATTAGCAGCTCCAGGTAAAACATCTCCATTGGACAATGTGATTCTTCCCTAGATTTATTTTAGGTACCTAAACGGTGTCAAATTGGGCAAAAGCAAACTGAAAATTTTGCTAAATCCTGTTTTGCCTTTGTTGCACTAGGTATCTTGATTCTTTTTTTTTTTTTTTTTTTTTTTTTTTTTTTTTTTATAGAGGCATGTTTTTTTCTTTCTTTTATTTTGTTTTGTTTTTTCATTTATACATGCACTGGGTACAGTCAGAAGCGCGGGAGGGTGAGAGAATTCACCAGAGCCAGAGCGGGGAGCAGAGCAGGCAGAAGGACCGAAGCACACTGCTGAGGGGAGCAGCGGGCGGCAGGAGAGGTCTGCGCGCCATGTGGGACCCTCCTCCGGTGGCCGGGGAGCAGCCGGGGATCGAACCGGCGCCACAGAGGCTGCGGGCAGCTTCGCAAGCCAGCGCTCAACCGCTGCGCCACCGGGGAGGCCCTAGGTATCTTGATTCTTGAAGGTGGAAAAAAGGCAGGACCCATGGGAATATATAAGAGGAAAGAACAGATTATGCAATAGGAATGTTTTATTGAAATGAACATGCTACATAAATATTAAGAAAGGAGGTAGCTCCTTTTGAGAGTACCTCCACCCCAGCCCTTTTGACTAACTGGGCAGTTTTTTGAAGCTAAGAACTTGTGTGTGCAACACTCACCTCTGCCTTTCACCTGCTGAGCTATTAGGCTGAGTGGAAAAGTATTTGCAAAGCATGTCTAGATTCTCAGAGAAAATATGTTTATCAAGTAAAGCCTGTCTCCAAGTGTTTCAATCTCAGCTTGAAAGTAACAGCCTACATCAAAGTGCAGTACATCAGCATGGCAGGAGGTCTAACTGCTGTGTCACTGATGTGTGCTCAGCCTCATCATTCTGCCATGGAGAGAAGTTTCTAGCTTTAGAAGAAGAAACCTCAGGAGCTGCTCACACTGCAGGACACATGTGGTGGACTGAGGCAGGAAAACAACTGCCAAAGAAAGGAATCTTTTTTGTCAATAAATAAGACAACATGGCTCCTTTGAGTGGAGAAATATAAGCTAATTATGACAGCATTCTTAACCCATGCATCTGCCAACTTGCTTAGTTTACACAATTCATCAAGATAAAAAGATAACAGCAATGTCTCACACTCTAATTTTTTTTTAGGACCTTTTCTGATTGTTCCAATCTTAGTGAAGAGCTTCTCTCATGAGCTCCCAATGAACCAACATTCAACAACCTTTATGGAGGCGAACCCTGTGTCAAGAGTAATTCTAGAGCTAAGGCCATGAGACAATAGCCATATCATAGAACCTCATGCTAGGGATGAGATACACTAAACAAGCACACCAGACAATATAGCTTGCAGGATCAACTAATATGCACAAGTGGTAAAGAAAAATAAAGCAGGATGACACAATACAGAGGGGCATAAGGTTAGGCATAGGGAGGGCGGAGGATTTTTATACAGGATGGTGATCGTGACGAAGCCTTTCCAAGGTGGTGTGGTGCTTTCAACATGTGTTCAATGTAAGTTCTGCTGGTTTAGCTAAAGACACTTGCTCTGTGAACCTTTGACCATGTGTGTGAAGATGAGTCCACCACATGGGGAGGAGGGGGAGGGAGGGGGCCAGGGAGAGGCACAGGGGGAAGGAGAGGGAGGGGTGCTCCTAAGGAGAATGAACAGTTGCAGTCCTCCAGTTGTTTGGGTCTTCCCAGCCCAAGGGCCAGACACATCAGGAAGTCACCCGATGACCCCAGTCTGACTACATCCGTGGGGGGGATCCATAACAAGCACTCAGCTGAGCCCTGCCAACCTCTGGTTTCATGAGTCAAAGAAATGATTCATATTGTTTTAAACCACTGGAAGTGGTTTGGGGTAGATTCTTACCAAGTAAAAAATGATCAGGCCAGGAGGTGATATTAAGCCCCTGAATGAATTCTGAGAGACACTGTGTGACTCTGAAAAAGGAGTATTGTAAATGAAGGAAAAATAAGTGGATTTCGGTTGCTGAAGCCAACCAATTAATGGTACTAGGAAATGAAGGCAATTGCCATCTTACAGATGAGGGGCCAGGTGCAGGGAGCTTGAGTGACTTGCTCAGATTACGTGGTTGGTTAGTAAGTAATGGCACCGTCACCGAGTTTGGCATGTTCCAGAGGAAAGCGCCAGTATGCTTAAATGTTACTACTCTGCTATGAAAAATGATGAAAACTGGGCCTCCCCTGGTGGCGCAGCGGTTGAGCGCTGGTCTGCGATCTGCAGTCAGATCTGCAGCCTCTGCAGCGCTGGTTCGATCACCGGCCGCCCGCGAGGGTTCCACATGGCGTGACAGACATCTCCTGCCGCGCCCTTCAGTCTGCCTGTTCTGTTCCCCGCTCAGGCTCTGGTGAATTCTCTCACCCTCATGCACTTCTGACTGTACCCGGTGCTTGATGAATAAATGAATAAAATCTTAAAAAAAAATGATGAAAACTTGTCTTTTTTAGATAACATGGATGAACCTGAGGTGATTATGCTAAGTGAAGTAGGTCAGAAAGTGAAGGACAAATAAGGGATGGTTTTGTGCATATGTGGATACAAAGAAAAAACCAAATAAATAAAAACAAACAAACAACAAAAATAACTCCTAGGCTCAGAAAAATATGGTGGTTACTAGCAGGAAAAGAGGAGGGGGTTGGGGGGAATAGGGTACAACCGGGAGCAACTTGATAGAGTGAATGGCACTGGAGCTTAAGTGGGAGGGTGCAGTTGCATTTGCACATATAGAGGTGTCAAGTTGCACTCTAGAAACTTGTAGAATGCTGTAAACTAATGGCAAATCAATAAAAATGGTATTTAAACACAAATATAAGAAATCAAACGCAATGCTTACCCACAAACACATATGCCATCCTTAAAAAAATTGGTATTTTAAAAAATCATTTTCAGATCTTTGGCTAAACTATGTGTCTCCCTTGATGTCAGATCTGAACACTCTGTTTTGACCTCAACTCTGTAACAAAGGACGGAGCGCAGTGTGTCCAGAGCAGGGCAACCTAAAACACTGGCCAGGGCATGCAGGGAGGGACAAGCGAAGCCCAATCCTACTTGGCAGGCAGCTGCTTGGAGCTGGCCAGGAAGTGAGGGAATTTTCTGTTCTCTCTGATGCAGGTGAGTGTGGCCAGGACCTAGGGGGAACTAGCTTGAAAGCCGTGAAGACCTCCTCAAAGCCTCTCATTTTTGATCAGCAGGGTCACAATCCAGGAATGTGGGGTCGTTTAAATTATTTTTTAACTCAAGATAGGGTCAGGGCAAGTGCAAGAGGACTAAGCTACTTTTGTTTCCCCAAATTCCCTTTGTACCAATGCCCAGTGAAATATTTTCTGAAGGGGAACAAGGCTTCTTAAATGATCAGAAGAGGGTACAATGGGAAGAAGGAAACTGGTGGAGAACTTGACCCAGGGCCTGGGCTAGTCTGTCTGGAACCTCTATAAACCTGCCTCCTGCCCCATACAGACTTGTGAGTAAAGTGGGCCTGGAGGAAAGGCAGCCTCCACTCCAGGTAAAGGTGGACATCAGAGACCAAGACAGATTTTGGTTAAACCAATGACCCAAGGGAAAGTGGAAGCAGGTCAAGGGTGTCTGAAAGAGGGACAGATTTTTGGCAGATACATCTTCCCAGCCAAAGGGTCAGAGCCTGAATATTTCACACCAGCACAGATAGGCTCATGCTATGGGTGACCACACAGGCCTGTGTGTTCTCCAGCAATTCCAGATGGTGGCGTTGTCCAGTAAGTGCATGTGGTCTGCTTGATTTATTTTCTGGTTGGGCTTGCCATAGGCTTGTGTTTCCAGCAAAAGGAGAGAAAGCAAATCTTGGAAAAGGAGGGAAGTTGTCTTTGCTGGACGTGGCGATACCTGAATGGACAAAATGGGCGCCTCTGAACACAACTGGGAATACCAAGGAGAAGGAAAATGATCCATCTTTGCTGGTAGGGGGGCAAAAAATAGATGTATCAAAAAGTTAAGAGTGCTGGACATTAAAGTAGAGTGAGGGAAAGGTTAATATCCTTAATTTTCAACCTCTTAGATGGTAAGTATGGTAATCCAGGTTTATCAAGCTCTGGTGAAAACCACCTTGATTTCATAATTCCAACACTTATGAAAACTATCTCAGCCTTAACATTTGAATGACTTCAAAAGAAATCCCTGGAAAGAACAACAAGTTTCTTCAGAAGACTCAAAGACACACCTTATGTGTCTTTTGCCATTTTTTTGGACTCTTTTTCAAAGCTTTAATTCTGGGGCTATGTAGTGTTGGGAGGGCACGGAGCAGGATCTCTATGACCCAAGCAGAAGGGTGGAGAGAGTCCTAGAGCCCTCAGTGGCTTTTCAGGCTTTTATTGGGACTTACCAGGTACACAGCAGACTGGGAGGTTGGGGGAGGGGTGGGGGTGGCGGTGGTGTGGCAGGCTGGCAGGCCTCCCAGCCCCCAGCAAGTCTTGGCTCTACCTGGGCTCTCCAGCGTTCTCTGGTGGCCTTGTTCCTTGCTGCTCTCGGTTCTGCTTCTGCTCTCTGCTCTTCCTGGCATCCCCATGACACCGCCTTTATACGCCCACTCCTAGCCCAGGTGAATCCCATCTACCTATGCCCACACCCTACTCCAGGTGCCCGCCATCAGGCATGCATTCAGGACCACAGATCCCTCATCAGTCCTAATGGCAGGAGGGCAGAAAAGCCTGCTATCATTTACCTACCCTACAGGCTATTACCGCCATGTGGGTTACCATTGTCTCGCTGTCATCCCCTGTTTTGGGGCTAAGGAGCAGAACTTAGCATATCAAACAGCACCGTGATGTTCCAGAGACAAACATAAAAGTAACTCACCTGGGTTCCGCCAACAGAAAGCTTACTTTTAAAGCGAATATCATGAAGGCAAAGCTCCCGCGAGCATACATGTTGCTCTGAGCAGGCAGCTGCAGGTGCGTGGCTGCAGGTTGGGGAAGCAGTTATTTTCAAAGGGCCAGAGGACCAGGACACGGTTATTTGCTTTTGAGCAGACTTTTTGTGAATTTGGGCTTCATGGCCTTCCAATCAAAGGAGAGTTATTTCGTAATTCCCGTTCCACTCTTTGCCCATGTTGACAAGGACGGGCGGACAAGGAGTCTGCGGGCGCTGAACTCGAATAGACTCGCAGCAGCGTTGTGTTCACACACACACACACACACGCGCACACACACGCACACGCGTTTTCCCTCCCGCCCCTCGACACCCACAGAATGCTGCTCATTTTGGGAGACTGGAAGGAAGAATAAGGGAGATGTAATTTTGGAGGCCGAGGTCCGTGCGTGATTCTCATACTGTCATAAAGGCACCGTGGGTAGAGGGGCTGCACTGATGGGGAAAAGAGGCGCAGAGACACGGTCCCACCGCAGAGTGAGCTGGCGTTTGGGGGGGGTGGGTGTCCACGTGGGCTAGATAGAGAGCAAAATGCATTTACAAACCTGCTTGCCTTTGTAGACATAGCGGATCATTTTAAGGAATCTGGGTAAACTCCTGTAAAATCCAAGAATGGACACAGTGCAGGTTTTCTGATCCCATGCAGACCGGATAAAGGAGTCAGAGTCCTTAGTGGGTTTTTGCAGGTGTTTCATTGGGGTTCACCAGGCATATGGCAGGCAGGAGTGCTGGGGGGCCAGGAAGCTGGCAGGCCTCCCAGCCCCCAGCAGGTCTTCACTCTGGCCTCTCCAGCCTTCTCTCAGCTTCTGCTGCTGCTGCTGGCGTCCCCATGACGCCGCCCTTAAAAGCCCAGTCTCAGCCCAGGTGAATCCCATCTGCCTATGCCCACACCCTACTCCAGGTGCCCGCCATCAGGCATGCATTCACGACCACAAGGATCCATCATCTATCCTGATGGCGGGAGGGCAAGATGACTGCAGGGAGATATGGTATCCTCAGCTCACAAACATACCTGTTAGCAAGTTAGATTCTGAGATGAAACAATTTTCTCCAACCTATCATAAAGGACTGACCCTTCTCCCCTCCTTATCCCCACTCACATATTTGCGTTTCCCAGGCCTTACAGAAAGGGTCAAGGTGTTTGGAAGTCTCAGAGTATGTGGCCATCAACTTCTCTTAAACCACACTTTGCACAAAAGCATGACCTCGGAACCCTTAGACAACAATGATGCAGGTCCCCTTTCACCTGATTCTAATTTAATGGCTCTTGGGTGAGACCCTGCATCAGTATTTTTTAAAGCTTGCTCAATTACTCAAATGTAATTTGGGGTTAAGATTTAGAATAAGCATCTTGAGAAAAATACGCATGATGGGTGGTATAATTGAATCCTTTTTAAATTTGCTGACATGGGACTTGGCGATCTTCATAAGAATTTATTAAATCCAAGTCTGTAATGCATTTTGAGTTGATTCTTGTGTATGGTGTTACAGAGTGATCTAGTTTTGTGATGCCAACTTTTATTAAAATATATTTGTGGGCCTCCCTGGCGGCGCAAGAGGTTAAGCACTGCACAATGAAGCTGTCCGCAGCCTCTGCAGCACGAGTTCAGTTCCCAGCAGGCCAGGGAGCAACCCACATGGCGCAGCAGACCTCTCCTGTCTCCCCTGCTGCTCCCCTCAGTGTACTTAGTTCAATCTGCCTGTTCTGTTCCCCACTCTGTCTCTGATAAATCCTCTCACCCACCACACCTCTGGCCTGTACCCCAGCTCTTGAATGCATAAATAAATAAATCTCAAAATATATATATTTGTAATATTGACAATTAAAAAATATTTACTAATTATAAGTTAGTGTCAAACACTAGCACCCAAGAGAATGATAGGGTGAGTCAAAGTTTCTTTTTCCCAAAGTTTTTTTCTTTACTCATTTGTGAACTAAAGGTACAGCTATATGTGTAAAGAAGTGAGTTAAAAGCAACTGAATTGGTCCTGTGTTGTGTTTTCACTGTCCTGATAGGGCAGCATAAATACAGAAATAAGTATATATATCAATATAGGGCATATGTGACTTATAAAATATAAATTGTGTAATTTTCAGTTTCTACATGAGTGAAAGAGTCATGGTAAAATTTATGTTAATGCTTTAAAATTTGAATTTTTTTATGTAGGACACTAAATAGCAAATAAAATATATCACAGTAAGAGAGAGTACAGAAAAAAGAAAATAGGTTTATGCATTAAAAGCTTTAATGACCTGACACTTTTTTCCTGCTTTTTGAGCAATTGGCCCTCTATTTTTTAAAAGATTTATGTATTTATGCATACAAGATCTGGGGTACAGGCCAGAAGTGTGGGGGGGTGAGAGGATTCAGCAGAGACAGAGTGGGGAGCAGATCAGGCAGACTGACTGAAATACACTGCTGAGGGGAGGCAGTGGGCGAGGCAGGAGAGGTCTGCTGTGCCATGTGGGTTGCTCCCTGGCTGGCCGTGGATCGAACTTGTACTGCAGAGGCTGCGGACAGCTTCATAGGCTATGTCTTAACCCCTTGCACTACCAGGGAGGCCCCTGGACCCTCTATTTTATTTTGTCCTATGCCCTACAAATGATCTTACCAGTTCTGCTTCTTCCTTAACTGCCTTCACTGTGGAAGTTGGTAGAGCCGCTTGTAGGTGCCAGGCTTCTGTGTACCAGCAGTGACCATGTGACCACATTCTAGTCTTTGAAACATAACTGAAGTGTACTGAGAAGCCTCAGGGAAAACTGAAACACTTGATGCAAGTTGCAGACATTGGTTGTGCTGCTTTTCCCCTTTCTGCCCTCCTTGAGTCCTGGCAGATTTGGGTTATGCAATCATCTTGTGACCAGCAGTCCACAAACATGAGAAGAGAAAGCCAAAAGCTACAAAAGTTGGAGTGAAAAGCTAAGAAAGCATCTGTGTCCTTGACAACCTCACTGCGCTGCTGAGCCAACACCATTAGCCATCAGCCTCGACGTCCATGTGAGAAAAATAACCCCCAACTTATTTGCAGCCACCGTGAGCCTTTCCATTACTATGGCCCAGTCATCACTTACAGACACATGGGTCCTGAACTGTCTGTGCCCACGGTCTGTCATGAAAAGAAGCCCACTTCTCCTCCTTCTTGCCCTGCCAATCACAGGCAAGGCTCTACACCAGTCTCTTCAGCCAGTCTGGGAAGCGGGAAGGCAAATGTCATATCAACAGTTCCATTTTCCTCCTCTTTCCTCTCTGTTAACTCCTTGAAGGCTGCCCCCAAACAAGAGATTCCACAGCAACAGGGATGGAGCTGGAGAGGCTTATGCTCAGTGAAATAAGTTAGAAGGAAAAAGAAAAATAGCTGGTTTCACTTATGGGGGACTATAAAGGAACTCAATAAGGGATCCAGGGCAAAAAGACAAAACTTGCAGGCAAAGTATAGATCTGAGGCACACAGCGGGGGAGGGCGAGGGTCACAACAGGGGAGGGGAGAGCATGAGGGTCCATGGTGATGGATCACAGGTGAAGCGGTGGGAGATTTACAGGGACTACACCTGAGGGGAGAAACCGAACACTGTACAAAAATAAACAACAAAGTAAGAAAATATTAAAGTTTAATAATAATAAAAAAGATTCTGTGTTGATCTCTCAGTGGAGGAGATTCCTAGAGGAGGCAGCCTCAGACACAAGACAGAAACATTCCCAGCACAGCCTCTGGCCACTCAGTCACCTGTAACTTTAAGCACAATCATGGTTTCCCTTACTTACAATTCAAGTAAAATAACAGTGATGAAGACATCCCAAAGAGAAGAGCACTGACAGATAACTCCACAGTTCACATCATAAAGTAATCTCAATCTTGCTGCAAAGGACATGAGTTTATCTTTTTTGATTGCTGAATAATATTCCATTGTGGAGCTAGAAGGAATTATGCTCAGTGAAATAAGCCAGAAGGATAAAGAAAAATATCGGATGGTTTCACTTATAGCAGGAATATAGGGGAACCAAATAAGGGATCAGTGTAAAAGAAAATAATAACAGTATAAAACACGACAAAGCAAAAACAGACAATTACAAACCAGAGACATCCTGCAGGGGAGGAGGCGGGAGAGGGATCAGAGGGAGGGAGGGAGGAGCACAGGGGACTGTGGTGATGGTTTCCGGGTGCCTTGGGGAAGGAAATCCTATGGGGATTCAACCTGAAGGGGTAAGGGGAAGAAAATATTGTTTTAAAAAAAAATTAAAAATTAAAAAAAAAAGAAGTCTCCATCGTGAGCACTTTCAGCTGTTTTTCTTTTATTGCTTCTTTGCTATCCATCTCATCTTTGGTCAACTCAAAGCCCAGTCTCTTTGCCACTGAGAAGCCCACACAAGGTCTCTCTGGAAAGCAGCACTATTATGCTTTCAGCACATAGTAGAGGTTTAGTAATTAAGTATACGATTTCAGAGAGGCAAGGGCAAATGAGGGGCTCGGTGAGCTGAGCTGACACAGGCTGGCCTTGTCCATCAGCATCACTGTAATTAGGACAAGCTCACGGGCTGCTGCGACACAACCTTGTGTGTGTCCACGTTCCGCATCTGAACTTACAACACGAGTCTTCGTTATTTTTAATAGAAGGCAGTTTGTTAAACATAACATTTCCCAGCAAGAATTAGGTATTGTATTATTTAGCAATCTCCTCTAACGGTAATAGCTTAAATATTTACCAGGACTTGGGGTGGGGGGAACTCCTATCTTTCTCTCGAAGACTTTGTATTGAGCCTGTTCCAGGAATGTAGGTCAGAGTCCTCATTCAACAGCTTAATGCAGGGCGAACCAAATTCCTGAGCTAGTGAGATCCCCTTTGCTCCCCCCCACTCCAGGCTTTCAGCACAGGAAGTTTACAGATTTATGTGGTTGGGCTCTCTCTAGACCCAAGGTTAATAATTTGAAAGAGGGGTTTGAAATCATTGACTGAAAAGATCTCCCTACTGGAGTGTAGCTTTACTTAAGCTACCATGGGAAATGCTTCCTTCAGAGTTGGGGTTGACTGCAGTCATTTCAAAACATGGATAATATTCCCAAATGAGAGAACAGTGCGTGGTCCCACCACACAGGATTATGCATCAATAGAACGAAATTAGGCTCTGTAAACAGTAGACATTATCATGAGAACATCAATGTTTTGTCCATTTGTATTGCTTTTAGGTATGAATTTGGGATGCATGCTGGCTGTTAAATTCAGTTTTTAGCTTAGATCAATCTAGTGCCTACAATCCTCTTCCAGGGAAATAGGTTTACTATGAAAGCTGAACTTCTGGCATGCAGGTGTGAATTCCACTGCTTCTAAAGAGACTGGAAAGAAGAGGTGCATTCCTGCTTCGCTGGGACACTTCAGGAAGCACCTGCCTCTGCTTGGCCAACAGTAGTTCCTGTTGCACTAAAGGGAATGTCCTCCCCTTGCACATAGGAGCAAAGGTTAAGGTCTGGGAAGAGCTTGTAGGGTAAACCCCATGGAAGGAGCACAGATTTTCAGTGGGTAGACACACAGCAGGACATCTGGGAAAGCCAGATAAATTGTGCAACATATTTTATCAGCAGTCTGTTCCAGCTCATCTGTGGCTTACAGGAAGCTGCTTTCTGTTTCCCTGTATTCTACTAGTTGTGATTGGAAAGAGGCTAAATGTCTCAGGTAAGGGGAAGGGAAAGGTAGTAATACTGAACACCCCATAATAGTTTCACACTCATTGGTGAGCCTTTCCTTACTCTAATTTTGTCATATTCCTCACACAAATTAAGTTTAACACCAAGACTTCTAGAGCCAAGCAAGGCCTGCTTTAAGGTCATCATCCCCAAGATTCAGTCTTCATATGAGTAAAAGCCTGGACCTTTGATCCCAGAGGAGAATGTTTAAGAGTGTCCTAGTGCTAAAGACATCTGAACATCCTTCCCCTCTTACCCAGAAGCTAACTGGAGAGGCCTGCACCAGGCTGGAGCAGCCCACACAGTTGTGTTTCGATGAGGTTAAGTTTGCTGGGTACAGAAAAAGGGAATGCAGAGGGTAAAAGGTGTGAATCAATAGTTCATGAATAAAATGATTTTTGTGCTAGACACCAGTTGAGGTTATTCTGGCACAGGTCTTATCCATTAGCCCCATTAAACTCCCTGGGAGAAGAGGATGTATACTGGTCTGAGAGAAGAGAAAAAGGCAGTGATAATAACTTACTCATGGTCTTGTTTCACAGATTTTCAAGTTCTTTTCATCTTTGTGACAACCCAGAATATACTATAACTAACACCAGCTCACCTTAGGGGGGTATATTTGATACCTTGACCTAACATGTCAACCCAAAGCAGGGGTCAAATACTAGAACAAACTGATGGTAACGCATGAGTTTCTGCTATTCCAGTTTATTGAAATGAGTAAATTTATAGCTTTATTTGCATACAGAAAGGTGCACAAGGAAGGAAGTATGTACAAAACAATTGTGTGGCTGATCATTGCTTTTGAAATTTTATCTGTTTTCAAAAATTCACTACCTAGAAATAACTGCCTCCAGTTTAGCACATTTAGGTATTTGAAAATATAAAATAACTATTTCAAGTCTGTGTTTAAAATGACTAAGAAGTCAAATGAAAATTATGCTGTACATGATCAGCTGTTACCATTAGCCATAACACCACAGGCTTAGAGCTTGTCCTACTTGGGATTAATTAATAGAGGTTCATCAGGCTACCATCTGGTTTAGATCCTGAGCAGTCACCCTCTTCTTCCATGTAAAGGTAACATTGATTGTGGTTGATTAATACCCACAAAAACCTGAGCATTGGGGGTCAAGAGACAACATTAAAAAACCCAACATAGACAAAAAGAAATTAACTCATTTTGGCAAGAACAAACCCTTCAGAACTGTGATAACAATAGAACTGAAAATGAACTGGGAAAGTTTCCAAGGTTATGAGAAGAAAAATACTGCAGACATTAGATTTTCGATGATAACACCAAATACTTTTTCCACAGCTTCTCCCCTCCCCTCCTATTTATCTTCCTAGTTAACTATGAGATTGTGGTATCCAGAAAGTTTTCCAGTTACTTGGTTAAGGTTGAGCATGGTCCCAAATGAGCATCTTGTATGTTTGACATCTTGACATCTGCAGAATACAGTCCTTCATTGCTGCATTGAGTTTAGTTGTTCTTCAATTTTAACTGCTCTTCTAGAACTTCAGCTCAAAAGGAGAGTCTCCGCTTCCACAGAAAGGATAAAGGTTGTGCCCATTAGTAACTCTAGTTACTGGGGTTAGCGATTACTGAGAAGGCAGAGAGGTCTCAGCTCTGTGAATCATTAGATTTGTTTGCCCTGAAAGACTCTGCTGCTTGTATAAGGTAAATAATGTTCTATGGGGCAAGGAGTGAAACTGACTGAAAAGAGAATCAGAGGGAAAAGAAGTGAAGAGATAAATTATCCTTTTCCCTCCTTTGCAATAACTGAGAAGAAATTGGAAAAGGAACAATCTTGCCTTTGAGAGAAAAATAATCATCAGAAAGAGGAGAAGTTATATCTTTAAAAAGAATCTTCCAAACAGCCTAGGAAAAGTTGGATTTGCATCAATTTTATTGTAAAAATTCTCTGTAAATGATGGTCTGAAGCAAGACTTAAGAAGGTGCCTGGATCTATGATATTCCTTAGGTTTTATACTCTAAAACAGAATCCCAAACAACTTTGAACAGTAAGAATTTAAATAATTTTTTCAAAACCACATGATCTGAAATGTTGTGGTAGCTGCATCTCCCAGAGAGTACCTGGTAAATAGTTTTCTAGAAGGCTCAAGGGATGCAATCAGCAAGTATTCAAATAGGGAAACTACTTCATTTACATTTAAGCTAGAGAGTTTAGATTCTTAATTTATTTAAAGCCATAGATTCAGTTTAGCTTTAAACCTAGACAAAAAGTGAAAGACATTTTACAAGTGGAAGAAGCAGCAAGAAATAAGGCAGCAGATAATATGTCAAAGCTGGAACAAGGGCAGAGGTAAGGACTTGTCTGGCCATTAGCTTTCTTGACTACTAAGGTCAACCTTTTGGTTCTCTGGGGAGTCAGCACACCGGATTCCTACAGAAGTATGGACAAAGTAAAAACCATTGGTTAGAAATTTTGGATTGAATATCAATGTGTTAACTCTCAAGTCATTATTAAAATTATGTCTATTAAAGCCAGCAATCATCTCCTAAGGGAGATATGAGGATTGAATAAGATAATAAATGTAGAACATGTAATAAAGTGATTCATAAAAGTGCTCAAAATTTTTAGCTGTTGTCCCCCAGGAGAGGCCTCCTCTTTCCATCCCCCAATCTACTAGTTTATCAGGTTGACCAAAATTATCCTTTGGTCCTTCAAGACCAAATGATAAAAGAGCCTTCACTTGGTGGAAGACTTTTGGGTTTTTAATGGTGGATCAAGCACAGAAACATGCATTTGCAGAAGTTAGACCATACAATCCCTAAAACAAATATATCAATGTAAACCAACTTTACTACAATAAAAAAAATAATCTAAGTAATGAGTCTCTATTAAGATTTCTGGCTCTTAAATATGTAGTCAATGCTTTCATAGCATTAGAAGTCACCTGGATGCTTGTTAAACAAAAGCTTTTCCTCAGCACTAAAGGGGATCCTTTAGGCCTGGGTGTCAAGAATTTGCCTTTTCAAAAATCTCACCCAGTTAGTTGAAGCAGATTTTATGGAAAAGTACTTTAAGAAACAATGTAATTATAGAACTGGGGAGAGGAGCAATGATCCAAATTGCAAGTAATCTCAATTTTTAGAAGAGTTTTATTTACCTAAAATAATTAAATTATCATCGGGTCAAGACATGAATGGGGCAGGACTGAATAAGATAAGTCTTGTTTTCCACCTCATCAACTCTGTCCTCCCTTTTCTAAAATGTGGATAGGCCTCATTTTCCCCACTAATTTCAAGCTTTCAGAACAGAAAAAGTTTCTGACACTCACTGTTGAGAAAGATGTCTCAATGGCCCTCCCTGGGTCTCAGGGGGAGCTGGTTATACCTGCTAACTTACCTAGGAAAAAATCCTCTAGCCAGAAAAATCAACCTGTAGAGTCACTGGAACTTGTACTGCTTTTGAAGGTATTGGCAGTTGTCACCACTTTTGGGTTTAATACCATCAAACTATTTCAGACTAATTTTGGGTCCCCTCACAAAGAAATATATGTTGATTTAGGGGTGGGGGCAGAAGAGCTGTGACCGTCCTCTGTTTAACTGACCTGTTGGTTAGTCTTCTGATTTTGTACCTTCTAAGGGAAACCAGTTACTACTAGGAACTTTGCAAAAGCTTTAATAGTAAGGTAACTAGAAAGTTGTGATGTATTTATTTAGTTTAACTTCTATTTATAATTGAAATATCAAAACAAAGAATATAACAGAAGACCATATCCTTACAGTTACATTACTACTTTTTGTAAGTATAAGATTTCTAAAATGTCTAGTATTACTGAGTTAGCTAAGTAAAGATTTCCATTATATCTATTTACTTCTAAATTAAAGCTTTTACTTCTTCCCAATTCTAAAATTGCAATTTCTCTCTCACACCCTGTGCCACATTTTTTCACCAAATTCCCCACGGTAAGAATAATAAAACCTTCTACTTACGGAAGTTAGGCAAAAGGATTTCCAAAAGGATCCCTATATACATCAGAAGATGCAGATTGAGGAGAAACCATCTAGGAGATAAAACCATCCACTAATAGGTAAAATAGCAGTTATAAAAATAACCCTAAAATTAAGATTTCTCAAATTCTTTAAAACATTACTTAGGTTAAGGGCGAATGAGATATTACATGGAACTCTAGTGATTTGTGCTTTCCTGCACAATAAAAACTGGTTGTATACATTTATTATTTACTTCTAGACCAAGGCTCAGGTGAATTTGTCCTCCCCTAATGGGGAGTATGATTTTTAGGAGCTAAGGCAGTATGGGTGGGAAGTTAGGAAATTAAATCTTTGGAAGATTTCTTAAGAAGTATTTTGGCTTAATTTTCTCTCAAAATGCTTTAATAAGCTAGGTTAAGTGAAAAAACAAAGGGCTTTCTCTATATGGTATAGTTTTCTCAAGCAGGATAGAAATCCTACAGAAATAATCTTTCTCTACTTTGAGTTGATGTTTAAGTTGTGATGGTTCTCAATGATCAATCTCATTTAACCATGTTTTACCATCAAAAAATCGATAGACAAGCAAGGCTAATCCAGGTGGTGGTAGCTCTGTGAGGCATGGACTTTGGAACTTCTAGTGGTTGATACTTACAGAGGCTTGTGATGAACTGAAAGAATCTTTAGAGAAAGGGTTCTCAAATGCATTGTCAGCAGATTTGGTAACTGGCAGGGCACTTTGTCTGGGAGTTGGCTTTGGTGGTTCTAGAAGGTAAAAACCCGAGAAATCAGTTGACAAAAAGATTTCCCCAAATATAGGTGATATATACTGTTCTCTGGAAAGACTTTTTGAAATTTAGTTCCATACTTTCTGAAATATATATCAGTGGAACAAAAATCACCACCAAAATACTAGTAACTCCAGTGCTTACAACAGGCAAATTTATCACAGAAGCCATGCACATTTACCTGAAGTGGAGGAGATTCAGAATTCCCCCACATAGGTCCATGGAATATGTATGGTTGAGGCTTTATTATACGGCCCTCCAGGTACCACCACCCATTTTGTATCAATGATTTGGCAGCCCTTTTAAGTATTGTCACAAGAGGGCAGCATTGGGCCAGTCCTTAGAAGCAGTTAACTAAGGTAAATTAGCACCATAAGGTCAACGGTTGTCTCCATAACAACTGATGACAAAAGAGAAAGAGAGAGCAAAGTTTTCGGTAGGTGGGAGAGGGTTCACCTGAGGGACTATAGGCCCATATGACTGTGGAAGTACAGGTTGGTATAGTTGGAACAACAGGCAGAGTGTGGGTAGCTTACCATTGATTTTTTGCAACAGCTGATTAGCATCAAAGTCATCGTGGTCTGCATTCTCTTGAAGAATGCCAACTTTGCTGTTGAAATAACTGGAGAAGGCACTTGAAGTCCCAGAACAAGACTGCTCTCCCTTCCTTGCGGGCACAGCAGGTGGTTGCCGCAGTTGGAAGTCTTTAAACATTTCTTTCACTTCCTTGACTTCTCGATCCCCAAGAGGGTCCAAGGCAGTGAAGGCATCACTGGAGATGTCCTTTGGGGGGCCCGTTCTGGGAGGTGGTTGAGGAGGAGTGGCCAGGAGAGAGGAGAGCATAGAAGAGGATTGGGCAGCCCCAGAGGGTGGTGGGAAAATATCCTGAAAAGGATTCCCCAAAGGACTTGTTGATGACCAAGCATTGGGTGCCACTGATGCTGATGGGCCCCAAACAGCAGGGGCTGGAGGGGAAGGTGAAGCTGCGTAGGATGAAGGCTGGCTCCAACCCGCCACAGGTGGGTTTGCGGTAAAAACGATTGCTTGACCAAATCCTGCAGGTTGACCACCCATCAGGGCTCCTGGGACCACTGGAGTTGACTGATTGAATACTAAAGATGCTGGGCTCCAGGGTGCTGTCTGAGGGGGTGCAACTGGCACACCACCTGAAGGAAGAGGGAGAGAGGACTTCTTAGAAAACAAGCATGAAACAGAATTCTTGAGTTTCAGAAAGAACAACAAGGGAGTATTTGTAGAAGCATCTATTGGCCAACACCTTCAAGTTTTGAGGATGACATCAAAATCAGGGCTTCAAGGGATTTAATCACTATACATCAATCACTAAACTTTAACCAGCTAAATAGCATAGTTAGCATTCCAGTGCTGGCGACATTTCAAAGTTCATGTTCTTTTTGATATGATTTTTTAAAAAAAGCTTGTCTCATTATATGAGTAGTATAGAGCAGTATCTAGTCATGAAAAAAGTGTGCCTTTATCATATATATGTATACATAGTACATACATGCATACATGTGTGTGTTTATGTGTGTGTGTATGTGTGTGAAGAGAGAGAGAGTGCATTTCAAATAGAACAGGGTCTATAAGTGGTATGGACTTATTTATTAAGTGTTATATTTACAAATACAAACCACACTGGTTATGAAGTAGTTAATTAAGATGCCCCTTTGGGCACTCTGAGTCACTGATGTGAGTTTTTCACTGCAGCTGATTCATGTCTGGGGTCTTACACAAACCAGCTATCATGTGTGTGTATGAGGCTGCTAAAGGCTTGTGTCCTGAAGAAACCATTTCAAAATTTCCTTGCTTTTTGCTGCTGCCAAGGTTGACACAGCTATATTAAGGGATGATAAAATTTAGCTGATGCCAAAATAGTTTTAGACTTTCATATATAAAAATAAAGTCTGGTTATCATGGGAGAGCTGTTTCAAATAAAAGTGCTGCCTGCCATGTGTCACTCACTAAATCTTGACAGAAGTTAGAACAGAGTATTTGAAGGGGGAAGGGAGAGAGAGAAGACCATGTGAGGGTAATACCTTCCCAGGTAACCAGTGACCTGTGTCCAGGCATCTGAGCGCTGTGGAGGGATCGTTCTCTCTCCTGTAGCCCCGCCGCACGGAGCAGGAATCAGTGAAATCACTAAAATCCTTGTCACTACCATGTTTGCTCCCCTCCTGTCTTGAGAGGCTCATTCCCCCCATCTTACTGTAATATGTAGAGCATTTTCTCTCCTGCCTCTTTCTAAGTATCAACGACCCAGTTAAACTGTCATCACCAGCAGAACTAAATTCCGCCCGGTACCTATTTATAAATGATGTTCTGCTCTCAAAACCTACTTGCTTTGAGCTTAGAAGCAGAGTGTTATCTAGTTGTAAAAGCTTTCTCACCCCATTCAGAAAAGGCCTTCAAACTCGAGTAAGGGATGTTTTTGTTTCCAGAGATGTTTTGAAGATGATTTTTAGAGACCAATGTGTTAAGAAAGTTTATCTTGGATTTTCTTAATATTGAAGATTGTTCTTACTTAACTCCAGCCCATCTCATCATGGTGTGCTCACAGAAATGAGTGGGGTTAAGAAGATTAATTATTAAATCGGGAAGGTCACAGTCTGTGACAGTGGAGACTAAAAGTTGGGTGTACTGACTCTGAATCCAGCACCCCATCCTTCTGTGGTGCTTTTTTGGCATCCAGGGACAGGACCTTTATTTTTTTAATGAAATGCTAATTCAAACAGTTTTCATAGATAGAGAAATTAGACTTAATTTACACTAAAAACTAAACATATTCCTTTCATAACTGATGGAGGAAATTCTTGTAGGTTTCTAAAAGTGGGTTTATTTTGAACTAAGTCATTGTTAGTGTTTTAAAACAAATCTATTTAAAACTTTTTAAACCAAAGTCAGTCACTCAAAAATAATAACTAGGGTAGAATTTTATCATTTTTGTTGTCATCCCTTAGGAAAATGTGTGACTTTTGTCATCGATAGTAGAATGGTGGAAAAAGAAAAAAAATATTTTCTAGAAATTAATGACTTTCTTAGTATATACTGATGGCTGCCCTCTTTCCCATCTACCAGATTACACACATTGTGCTTCCAAGACATTTAAGGTCCCCTGGAGAAAGTAGGGGCAATAAGAAAAAAAAAAAGAGAGTGTGGGTATGAAAAGTTAATTTTATTACCTTCTGATGCTAGATTAAAACACAGAGTAGTTAGTCAAAGCTGAAGACTCAGCTTTCAACAATAGCCTCCCCCCACCCCCCAGTTCTCCAGTGGAGACAGTCCCCCAGCTGGGTCTAGCGGAAGCCAGACCTACAACCTTCCATGGTTTGGCTGAGGATCCCTGCGAGTGGACAGGGGCTATACTGTAGAGCTCAGTTTGAGATCCATGTCCAAACGTGGAAGAGTCATCAGTATTCTGCAGTTGTCTATCCTAAGGCCTCACCAGGGGCACCTAGCCAAATCTCTTCCCTTCCTCTGAATAAATTAACAGTTATAGGGACCAGCTGTATTTTCAGGCTGACTTGTTAAATATTGGCTGTAAAATTTCCTCAGGGCATTGATATTAGACTACAAAGCTCTGTGATGAGATCTAGTCTTGGGCTCTGCCTGTAAGGTCTCTACCCTTCTGTAAAGAAAAGCACAGATCAGCTCCACTTGGGGTGCAGGAAAAGAGTGATGCAGACAGGGAGAAGCCCCCAAGAGACATGAAGGCTTAGGGAGATTCTCTTGATGGTGAAATGCAAGTAGAGAGCTGGGACAAGCTGGCTTGCACCCACATGGATTTTGGGCACCCTGCAGTTGGGCTCTTGGCCCCTTTTTGCCACTGTGCTCCAGGTATGATTAAACTGATTTAATATGACAGGACCCAAATATTTTCTTCTGCAGGAAAGTGGCAGAGAAAAAAAAAAAGAGTCCTGAAGAGTCTTGATGATTGACTCTGCAGGAAGCAGATACAGTAAAGTTTTACAAAGATAAGGAGAGTCCCTCTTCAGCTGTTTTCCCAGAGCTGGAGTCTATGTGGAGCTTGCAGAGGTGCCAAGAAGCAGAAAGGGAAAAGGAATCCCCATCAAGACAGCAAAGACTACTCCTGGGGTTTCTGAAAATGCTTCTGGAGGCTGTGGACAGTGAGCAACAGGGCCAGCTCTCAGAGGTGAATGCCCCCACTGTCCTGCAGGTGGCTCAGAGGCTCACGTGGGCTAATGAACATTAGGGAATGACAGCAGCAGCACATCTTAGGTGTGTGAGAAAACCCCACCTCTTCCCTTATTTCTTTGGTCTTTTCAACTTCAGATTCCAATACCTTCTAACTCTATTAAAACACTGAGCAAGCCAAACTGATCTGGATATATGCCTATCCCACATCCACCATCTGCCTAGAATGGAATGGGGTTCAGAACCTAGAATGTTCTTCGATGACTTTCACTGGCTTCAGACTTAATTCCCATTGGGGCATATAATCCTTCCAAGAGGGCTGGGAGCTTAAAAGAGATAGAACTTCTATCTAGTAATGACAAGCTTGTACATACATGGCATGCATGTCGCTACTTTTTCCAATGGGGACATAGACAAGGCTCTCTCATCTCAAGCCCTTTTCCCCATTATGCTGGTCTGAGCTGCAGAATAGCTTATGCTTATCTCTGGGAAACCAGTACCCATTGGTAAGTGCAAAACTAAAAATGGATCACTTCTCACATGCCAAACCCAAGGAGCCAAATTTCAACTATGAGCCAAGAGTACCAAATGGGGGTAGATTTCTACCTAAGGAAGAGTGGGGGAAGCGTTCCCCTAGGATGCTTAAATTGTATGCCCTGGGGACTTCAGGAAACGAAGTGACTTCTTCCTGTGCATCATCATCTTGTGAGTGGAAGTAACAGAATCCATCCTAACTCCATCTCTCACACCTACCTAGACCTGCAAGGGGCCCCACTGAGGCAGAAGCACTTGTTTTGAAGAGATCCAGAGGGTTGGGCTGTGCAGTTGCAGACTGTCCTGTAGGTGAAGTCTGGCCTGGAGATTCTGAGACGGGAGGAGCAAAGATGTCTGATGCAAGCAAATCATTTGCTGGAGACTGACAGGGCAGAGAGGGAGATACAAGAGTCATCAGTAACCATGAGATGCAGCTTTATTCTGCTCCTACTGTGTACCTTAAGTTTGAGAACCACAGAAAGAATTTTTTCTGTTATTAATAACCTATCATTAAAAAAAGATAAAAAATTAAAAAAAGGAGAGAGTGAGAGAGACATATCCCTGCAAAGAACAGCATATTGGGTGTTGGTAACTGACACAATGGGTATGTTTAAAGTGAAATCTAATTTGCTTATTTGCAGATTTGTTTTGGTCTGGTCTCCTTACAAGCTAACGCTTAAAGCTTTCAGAAAGCAAGGAAAATTATAAATATATCATCTAACTATTTTTGATCATTCCATTGGATTTGAAATCAGTTTGCATAAGATGATACTTTAGGCTAATCATTGGCCTGCATATTCCAAAGAGAAAGACACCTAGAGGAATTGCATTTGCAGCTGCTTTGCAATGAAGTGGTAATAGTAAATACATCAGTTTCTTTTAAGACAATGAGACAATGAATCATTCAGTAAGTATTTAAAAGAGGAGCAAACTTAGGAGTTTTACACCAACACCTCGGACATTAATGCCATGTGGGAGCTGCTTGGGGGTGTGTGTTAGTGTGGGGAAGGGATAAAAGGAATCACAAGACCCTTACCCTCCCCTTCCAGAACACGATGATCAAACTTACCCGAGGTACAGAAGCATAGCAGCATAAAAAAATGGAAAAACTTGTGTTTAGTTAATAAGAAGTGACAAGGCATGCAAACGGAAAGTAGGGCGTGACAAACACTGTTGAGTAAGAAGCGATTAGAGGAAGGTATTCCTGGAGAACGGTGTGTCTTATCCCACCTTCTATTTCACAGCCACACAGGAAACTACAATAGCAGCAGGAAAGAGAGAGCTTGCATCACACCACCCTTTGGTAACGAACATGCATTCTGCCAATGGTTATGTGGAGAAGACAATTCACCTTAGCAGTCCTTCTGCCTCTTCCTGGTTTGGTACTTTGTGGAGGTGGGATAATGGCAATGGAGTCTTGTGGTGAGGACTGGACAGAGTTTTCCAAGTCCTGCTTTACGCCATTCGGTACAGAGAGTCCTTTGGGAGGGCTTCCCACAAAAGGGTTCGGGGAGGATTTGACATGGAAGCCGTTCTGTTCTCTTTCAGATACCCCATTTTGATTCCTCACTGCTGGCTGTGTTTGCGTACTCGAAAAGGGCCATGGGCCTGTCTGAGCTTCCTGTTTGCCAGTCCGGTTAGAGATTTGGTCAAATTGCTGACCAAAGTAATCAACATCCCCATTCAGAGGCCCGTTACTCAGTGGAGAAGACAAGCTACTCAAATTCTCTTTCTTCTGATCTGGAGAGTTGTGAGAATCAAACGAAGAGGGTGTTGATTGGTCTGGATGTGCAAAAGGATCATCACGGAAAGGATCAGGATTAGGGGTGGGAAAGAAGTTGAGATTGGCAGAGAAGGCATTTTCAGGCAAGAAAGATGCCTGAGGCTTTGGTCGAGGGAGGGAGCAGGAGGTGATGCCGTTTGTTAAGAATGAATTTTCTCTTAAAGAATTCTGATTGGTGTCGATTTCAGAGTTTAGATCCACTAACAGGATATCTTTGCTTTCCTATCATATTTGGAAAGAAAAAAAAAAAGAAAGTGTTAGTCCATTTTGTGCCTTCAAATGAGAACGCTCATAAAATGACCATGATTATCAAAATTTCCGTTGCGTTTGGTCTTGACAAACTGGTTGATCATTATTACTACCTCTCATCACCTCCCTAGGTGCATTTACTCATTGTAGAATAGGTCTTCCTATTCCCTTTCCAGTCTCTTTAAGTCTCATCTTTACTGGTGAAATCTTAGTTGTTTATTTTAGTCAAGTCTCCACTCACCCTTATAGACTGACTGAGTTCATGGTCATTGTTGTTTCAATTCATGCCTTTGAAAGTCTTAAATGGAGTTCATTGGGAGTCACTCTACCCAATTATCCAAGTGTATTAAGCTCAAAAGAAGAAATGACATCAGAAACCTAGCTCAGCCACCGACCTGATAAGTTTCTTCTGTGGGACCCCAACTGGTCAATCCACTGACAAATATATTCATAGTTTATAGTCCTGATTGTGAGGAAAGTTAAGGTCAAATACATTTCTCTATACTTGGCTTATCTTTTGAAGGTAGGAAAAAGATTACCCTTTACACCATAGCCTATTATATATGACTTTGTAAATACTTAAGGATCTTTTTGAAGGTATTAGCTAAATTTTATCCTATCATGATAGTCTCCCCTTTGTACATACTCTGTTTGTTTATATGCTTTGAAGAAAATGATACTCAAAAATGCAGATATAGGGCCTCCCTGGTGGCACAAGGGGTTAAGTGTCAGCACTACGAAGCTATCCGCAGTCACTGCAGCACAAGTTTGATCCCTAGCCAGGGCTGATCCACATGGTGCAGCAGACCTCTCCTGTCTCCCCGGCTGCTCCCCTCAGTAGTGTACTTCAGTCAGTCTGCCTGATCTGTTCCCCACTGTGTTCTGGTGAATCCTCTCATTCCCCACCCCCACATCTCTGGCCTGTATCCCAGTGCTTGTATACATAAATAAATCTTTTTAAAAATGCAGATATAATCTAACATCATAAATAGCTTGTCATAAGATAGCTTAGAGTGGTCTGTGTTGTGACAATTGCCTCATGTACTTAATGGATAAAGTCTACCAATCTTTAATTTCCCTTTAATTTATATATAATATAATCTGTGGGTTTATAATTTAATTTGAAAGACATATTAAATGCAAAACTCTACAAATTCTATCCCCTCTACCATTTTTCTGGTATGTTTATTATTTCGACTCATTTGTTAGGTAAGACATCCTCATATAAAAAGTAGCAAATTTGATAAATCTGACCTGTCTTTATTCAAGTCAATGACATAAACTGGGGTTCATCTGAGAAAGAGCTGCTATAATCTCAGACCTTCCTTTTGACTGATTTTGGCCAATTAAATACCTAACTATGCTATCACAGAAGAATACAAACCATGGAAAATGCCTTGGTAAAATGGCTGTTAGAGATACAGCATTCCCCTGAGCAGATTACTAAATATTTTGATGACTGAGACAAAAACAACCTCAAGGGAATATAAAATTCTCAAGCTTACAGGTAAAAAGGGGGCTTGAATAGTCCTCCTTGGCTATAAGAAAAAAAACCAAAATTTTTAGAAAGTTGAGGTCCTCCATCAGACCTGACTGGCATGCTGTCCTTTGGCTTCCTTTAATGTGAGGTATAAAGACACAATTTTTAAAATTCAGGTTTTTGCTTTCTAACCAGAAGAATTTGTCAGAAGAAAGAACTTATAATTAAAAAAAATAATCAAAGAAATGGATTGGAATATCTCTTAATGGAGGGATCTTCAGCAATCAAAAGGTAGGACAAAATGTATTACAAAAGCTTGTGATTTCAGTATTTATTGATTTATTATGCGCCACCTCTGGGTTAGAACAGTTGGGTGTTCACAGCTGGTAGTGTCCTCCTTTTCAAATACTTCAGAAGAAGCTCTTAGGACACCAAACAGGAGCCACAGTGTTAGACTTCTGAATAATCACCCTATAAGTAAAATGTATAAGGCTTTCCTCAGGTTGGGTTTGTTGTTATTCAACATTAAAAAGTCTAGTTCACTGGCTACAACTCAAAGATGTACAAGTCTTCATCCATTCCCTTGATCAAGACTTCGTTAACTGTTGAATTATAAACACTGTATCTACCTGGCATTATTTGAGCACCTGAGAGACAAGCACCAGTGACATGAATGTGAAATGCAGGCCTTAAGAGCTCCCAGAAGTGGGACAAGTAGGGTACTGAAGAGTTGTTGGCACGAAGCTTAAATACTGAGCTCCACAGTCTAACTCTTCGGGTAACTAATCTCACTAATTTCACCTAACTGTTCCAGTTCCCACACCTGGACTTCCCCCTTCCTGCTACTTACTTTACTAAAATACACTTCATTAGATGGACTTTCAAAACAATCCACGATAGGATGTAGCTTATTCTAGCCAACTTGTTATTTTCCTACAGACTTTAAAGACACAATTCAAATCAACATCTTACGTATACATGACACTTGTGCTTTATCTCCTGATTGATCTCTATACTAGATTCAACCTCCTTCATGGGGGTCATGCCTGACAGTTTGGTCATAATAACTGTTTTCAAATGGTCAAGTTTTTAAAACTAGAGAGAATGCTTTTTATATTTCTTTCCTTTTTTGGTTCTGTTTTGAGATTAATATGGAAATGTATTGATTACTCAAGTGGTTTTCCCATAAAAATTGCATTCTACATGATGCCACTTAGTTTGCAACATAAATTTTAATTGAAATTCCTGATACTATTTTTCAAAAATTGAGAAAAGGGGTATATCAAGGAACCACTAATACAGTCTAGGTAATTTAGATTTCTTCCTCTTCTCATGTCTTCCAGAAAAATTATTGTAGGACTTGAATGTACATGTTCACAGGAATGGAGAGATACCTTTTATAACTTGTGAACATGGAGTCAAATATGTAAGTACAAGTTGACAAATTTCAACCAGTACCTATGTACACTGTTAGTGTTCTTTACTTACCAGATACCATCTACTTTGATGGTATTTATTATTTTAATTTATTGCTAGTTTGCCTAAAATTTGCATTTATTTCTATAAACTAAAATTCTTAGACTGCATGAAATGTAGTATAAATGAGACTCAGAATTACCCATGCTGTTTTTCATTTCCTTCTTCAGAACTTTCTAGAAGTCTACAGAAGCAGGTTAAACAGTTTCCTTGCCTAGAATTCACATTCCACTTCATATTTTGAGATCTTTGATATTTTTCAATATTCTTGTTTAAATGTCAGAAATATTTGGAAAGTAGGGACATACTGATTTACTTTGGGGAGGGAGCTACTCATGGAAGACAACATTGCCTAGGAATCAAAGGACCTCATAGCTATGATGGGTCTTTCAGGGTTATCTAATCCAGTAGTCCAAAAAATTTGTCCTTAGAATGGCACTAACATGATAAAGTTCCTATAGATAAGTGATAAGCCCCATTGTTTCAAAGAATATTAAACAGACTTCTATACTGGAGGCTTTGTAGGGCCTCTGAAATGTTATTATGCGTTGTGAAATATCATGGAGTTGGGGGTAGAGAAGAGGGTACATAGCTCCTGGTCCTTCCCTGTATCATTTATCCTTTAATTTTTATTTTAACATTTTTAATCCTTTATTTTATGCAGTATTCTGGGAAGTGAGACTCTTACCTAGTCTTCAGTCTGCAGCGGTTTGAATTTGCATCATATTAGTCATGTACACTTGCTTGACAATTCCCTGATATAGACTCCTACATAGATAATTTCTCCCCATTTCTCTAGACTGATATCCTTTTTGTCTAATTATTGCCTTCCTTTCTTCCCATCTATTACCTTCTCTTATGTTCAAGTTCCAAAACTCACTCAGGCATTATTTGAATCTCTAAACAGATAAATTCCCTGTAATTAATATCAATTAATAGTCTTTGTGACTAGTTTTAATGCTGGGCTCCCCAGTTGATAGTACACTCCATGAGTCATTGACGTTATGCATCTCACTCACTTCTGTGCCTTACTAAGAACAGGTAGTCAAGGAATTGTTAAATAAATAATAGAAGTTGCAAGTCATTATTCAAAATATCACACAGGTAATTTCACTTGAGGTATTTTTTGTAAGGCCTGAGCACTTGGACATAAACCTTGAATCCGGACCTCTTACTTCAGTAACTGAGTTCCCTTCTGAACCACCATTTCCTTATCTGTAAAGGAAAGTATTGCTCCATTCTCACAGAGTTGTGATGGATCAAGCAAAATTAAGAAAACTTGATACATTATGATATCTTGTAAAGAATGAGTAATTTTTTTTAAAACAAGGACAGAATTTTGTTCAACATAACTTGTTTGTTTTAATTCTTACTTCACACCAAGCTTATGCTGCTAAATACCAATAAAGGGGAAAAGAAAAAAGAAGCCAGAGGCTTTACAAAGAATTATAACAATAAAGGAGGGGAAGGAAAGAGGCCAAAAGGCTTTACAAAGAATTATCTAACAAACATACTTCCTTCAAATAGGCTTATGCCAAAGATTATTATTCAGCTCCTTCAGATCCTAAGTCATATCAAAAAGGACTACATTGCCTGACCTATTGCTCAGATTTAACTTCTAAGCAATATTAATATGTCTGAATTAGTGCTGGTAGGGTATCATGGTGACTTAAATGTAAATTTGTTCTAGTAGTCATTTACACTTTCTGTAGAAAAATCAGCAGTCACCAAGTTTTAGTGAGATAATCAAGATTTCCAGGTAATTGCCAATTTGATTTATAGATGCCATTTCCATTACATTGCAAATTTAAAAACAGAGACTTACTGTTGGACTATTTAGGTCAGGAGGTGTAGACATGTCCCCAAACATATCCATCTGGTCAACACCCTTAAAAAAGTATTTGAATTAGATTCAGATGTATCTACTAAAAAAGGTTACTTTGTATATTTTTAAAATTGTTTCCTAAACAAAAGTTTAGGAAAATATTGTCACAGCTGGATTTTCATTTAACTAATGCCCATTTGATATTAGGCTATTTAGGTCAGGAAGTGTAGACATGTCCCCAAACAAATCCATCTGGTCCACACCATTAGAAAGGTATTCAGATTAGATTCAGATGTGTCTACTAAAAAAATTACTTTGAATATAGACATGAATGTTATAGTAATGTTTAGGAAACTGGATGTTGCAATTGAATTTTCATATAGATTCTATACAGATTTGGCATTAGCAATATCTATAGGAAGTAGAACCCATATTCAGATAAACAATAATCATAAAGCATCACATACATACCAATTTCAGTTTGTTAGCTTGCTCATCAAAAGTCAGTAGGGACTCGTTCCCATTCTGAAAAGATGGCAAATATTTAAGGGTTTAATTTAACTTCCTGTAGTACGGCTTCCTAAGCAATTATGATTTATTTAGGCATCAATCATTCACTTGCACATCTTCCATCAGCAGAGGGGTCATCAGCACATAGTAATGAACTAGAAGGGTGCTCGGGTAGGTAGCAGACAAGGGCTTATACACATCACATGCACATGGTACAAGGAGAAAAGTTGCAGATTTACCTCTCCTACTTTGTTGGCTTCTTCCATCTAAAAAGAAAAACACAAATTCAGTGATCTGAGCAATTACAGTTAAAGAGTTCAATTACAGAATAATATATGCATGGCTTCCCAGGTAAAAGGAAGAGAGAGTCTTGCATATTATTTCTGCTCTACATCCCCCCACCAATTTTCATATCAATACTGGAACTGAATAGGGTTATTGGTAGTTTCTTATTTCCTTAGAATTAATGTAAAAGTTACAGGGACTAAAGAGCCAGGGACTAGAAATGAAAAGAGCCTCCATCTATCAATTGGTCCATTGGGAAGACAGACAACATATTTTTATAATTTGAGGCGCTGCATAGAAGCCAACTCTCTAGCCAGGCAATCTGTTTGCATAACATTGAAACATGATCCTGAATATAGTCATGTTTCTTAGGTCGATATAAGGAATTACTTGCCTTTTTCTTTTCTTCTTCCTTTTTCTTTACATTATAGATAACTTGAAAAAGATCCTTAAGATCAACAACTAATGGCTCAGCCTGAAGCAAGAGAAAGCATCTTTATCAGTATTTTAATCTTATCATTTTCTCTCCTTTGTCCCCCATCAGTTTTAGTCAGTGCCAATTTCCTCCTTGCTGTTAAAGCTCCCTTGATTTATGGGAGTATCACCACCACCCCAGCCCCAGATACATGGAGGACAGCAGGGTTAATGAGTATATAGACAAAATAAAAAGTACCACAATCATTTGCCAAGTTCCTTAGTTTCTGGGAATAATTCACTGTTGTTATAACATCAACATTTGACCTTATGAGAAAGTCCATTTTAATAATCCTTGAGTCACACACTACGCGGGTATTAATGACATTTAATATAGCCTTTGGCCAATAAAAACAGTCATCATCTGAATCATTGTTTATTTCGCACCTCTGATCAATTCCAGCAAGGACTCTAGTTGAGTGTTATACACATCTATGCTTACATGAGGACAAGGCTACTTTCAGGATTACCTAAAGGCTTAGACCTTACCTGTTGCCCAGTTTTTATGGCAAAAAACTGATGCTGGCCTTCTCCTCCACACACATAACCAAATGCCCGGTTGTCTGTCACATCGCGGGCAATAAAAGAAATCTTATTTACTGGATGTTCATGTTCTATTACCTGAAAAAGAACATAAATTTATTTATTGAGAAAACTAGAATCCATTTTCAGCTAGCACAATAGGCATCAGATTCCTAGGAATATAGGAAAAATTAGAAAACATTTAGAGAAAAGATTTTTTTGCTTTTGGTCTTAGGCTAGATATACAATGATCCTTGATGGGAAGGACTCCAAAAGGAGGGAAGGGTAGAAATCAAAGGTGGGAAGAATGTTTCTTCTTCAAATATTGATACTTGATTCTCTCTATACCAAAGATATGATGCCACATAGCAAGAACACACTGAGGATTGGGAGGTCAAATTGGGGACACATCCCAAAAGAATCTCTAATAGGTCTACTTTCCAAACTCAAAGACAAACTCAAGTGAACAGCATAACTTAGCAAGAGGAGTCACCATGGGGGTACAGAACGAAAACTCATGATCAGGGAAATTTCAGCACATTCTGGAAGTGACCAAGTGCTGCCATCAAGTATTTCTCAACCTCATACAGATGATCAACATCATTATCTAGGAGCTACATGTGGCAGGAGTTACACTGGCTTAGTAGCACCTTTTTCTTTATTCCTTCATCTCTTTTTATCTCAATCTTTTGAAACAGACAGCAGGGCTCAACTCTTCAAAGGTATTTGTAGATGGGCAGAATGTGTCTTGACTTTTGTTTCTAAAAACCTAAGGCCATTAAAAAGTTTGCATTGGGTATCTTGGAAAGTTTGAGGGAAACCTGCCACCATTATCTGGTGGGCTTGGGAAAGTTGAGAGATGAGGGAGAATGGGGTCCATGGTGCATGTGGACCAGTAGGATGGGTGAGCAAGAGACCAGGGCTCTATGTTGGATGACGCATTATGAACTTTAGATAATGAATGTTTCTAGGAAGGGGTAAAGTAGTAAATGGAGGTCTTCCCAGCCTTGAAGTAGTAATTGGAGGTCTTCCATCCCTTGATGAAATAGAGTATTTTTATAGTCATGAAAAGGAACTACAGATGACAGTATAAGTGGATGAATATCAAGATGTTTTGTGAAATTGAGAGGAAAAATATCAAGAAGACATGAAGTATGATAGCTTTTGATAAGACTCAAAACAAGCAAGCAAGAATGTTCATCTATGATAGAAACAGCAAGCACAAAAAACGAGCAAGGTTACATTTATAGAGTAACATTATGTACCCTGAGGAAGCAAGTAAAAGAAAGAAGAATAAAAAAAGGTAGATGTCTTACAGGTAATATTCTAGCTTTAGATAGCCAATAAATTTGCCTGTGATCAAAATGTTAATCAAAATATTAATTAAGGATTGAAACCCATGCAGAGCATGACACACTGGCTGTTAGGATTAATCTAGTTCTGTGTGCCTTGTGGTCAAAATAAAACACCCAAGTGATATTTACAGCATACCTGTCCTCACAGACTGGAGCTTCACATCTATTATCTGAGACTCATGTCTATTATAAAAAAAATGGTAGGAATCGGAATATATTTTGATTCCTTACCTTCTACTCTGTTTTTTGCCTGTTACTGCTGGAAAAGTAATATAAACTAGCTTTTTTCTCTACAGAATTTTGAAAAGGAAGAAGGGGAGCTGGAATTTAAGTAGCAAATTGTCAGATTCAGGTGGTCAGAAAGGTGTCAGAGAAAGGGAACTCTATTTTTTTCACAAATCTAAGCAATACTAGGGCTTTTAATATCTATAGAAAGAATATTTTTAGGGCCTCCCCGGAGGTGCAGCGGTTGAGCGCTGGGTTGTGAAGCTGCCCGCAGCCTCTGCAGCCCTGGTTCGATCCCCGGCCACTGGGCAAGGGTCCCACATGGCGCGCAGACCTCTCCTGCCGCCCGCTGCTCCCCTCAGCAGTGTACTTGGGGCCTTCCGCCTGCTCTGCTCCCTGCTCTGGCTCTGGTGAATTCTCTCACCCTCCCGCGCTTCTGACTGTACCCAGTGCTTGTATAAATAAACAAAACAAATAAATAAATACATGCATACATACATACATACATAAAATCGTTAAAAAAAAAAGAATACTTTTAGGAGAAATTTTTATCAACAATTGATTATCATTGCAAAGTACTTTAAACACAGAAATGACTAAAGATTCCAGTAAAGATATGTTTGCAAGCTGAGTTATCAAATGTTTCAATAATCTCAAAATGCCTGAAATGAGGGGACCACACCATGTGCTAATGAACACATCCATCGTTTTCTTAAAAAATCTTCTATGAAAGTAAATTCTTACCCCAGTTTTCTCATCAATTATTTTTATCCCAGAAAGAGAAATGTTGACCCAGATCCTTTGTTTGTGTTGTCCCTGAGACCGACCGGCTGCCGCCATCCCCTGATAAGATTGGGAAAACAAGAAAAATCTAGTTAAAAGTACACTATAATGCACTTAAAGCTAACATTTTAAAGACAGCGAGCATTGTTTTCAGCTTGGTTTCCACCTGTGAAAGGGTTAGGCACCCTTCATGAGAGACAACAGGATGCACAGAGCCAGGACATCAGCGGACAGCGATGTGAGCCCAGACATACTATGTTAGTTCTCTTGGCCGCAGAATAGTCATTCATACAGGCAAGAGGAATGGCTTAGATCTTCAGAGATGGTCCTCCTAGACCTTATTTTATTTAACAAGTATTATGTATTTGATTTATTAGTGTCACATAGTGAGAGTACTAGAATTTAAAAATTAAAAAAAAACTGAAGGACTGATGGAGAACACGAGTTTCCACGCCAAGTCCTGAATTTTGCCAGAATAGTTCCAGGGTCTAAAATGTGAGTGTGTCCAAGGTGAAAGTCATCTAGAGCCCTGATATATGCTTGGTTCGATCAGGTTTCTAGAACAGCACTCAAAATATGCAGAAACATGGCTTCTTATAAAATGAGAAAAAAGCTATCCAGCACCCCAGGCTAATTATGTGATTGGAAAAGTTTTTCTTTCAAATAATTGAGATATAGTTAAGTGGGAATTTTTCCTGTTAAACATTTGCTTAAGGTGAAAAGCATTCCTTCCCCCTTTACCTTTAGTTTCATCATAGAATCTTGGCTCATTTTATCACCTCTTGCATCTGGCACATCATCAATACCAATTAGCTTGGCCTTGTATTTTACACCATCACCTTTGAATCTGGCCAAGAGATACTCATCTGTCTTTTCAGAGCCTGAGAAAAGAAAGAAAATTTATAATTGCATTTAAATATCAGCTGGTATGACCAAATTAGGTTCAGAATCTCCAAATCTAAGTAGTATACATATACTACAATTGAGCAAATATTCTATATTCTACCCTGCCTTATTCTTAGATCCTCTGAGTAACATCATGTTCCATAATGTTCTGTGTGTGGAGTGGACATGGGGAAAAAACAAACTCTCGAAGATGCAACATGGATTGAATCATAGGAAACTTATAGGAATAGGTGTGGTGGAATATTTGGGGATATTTATCACTATTTTTTAAAAGACTTTTATTTAAGAATATAAGGATGATAATACTATATTTAAACAGAAAAATAAGTCACAACATAATTTGCTTAACATTTTTCCCTCTCAATAAGGCAGAGGAAATTATGATTAAATACTTCAAAAATCCTTAAGTTAATTATCCCATCTTTATAACTTCTATTGCTTCTCTGGAACAGAGATAAACCTTAGAAGTAAAAGGCAAGCCAGTCTACACATATTTTCAAGGTATGCAATGAGGAGTCTGGCAATTTCTAGTGGGAATTCAGGTCCAAAGAAGAGTTTCCTATACAGTGAAGATTTTGATATTTACAAAATGGCAATTTCAGTAAAGCAAAGTGGTAAACAGTCTATGGAAGGATAATCATATAATAACTAATAATCAATCGCTGCATTTATCTACTGAACAAGATGTTATGAAAGCTTCTTGGCAGTGCCCATGTTGGTGCAAGCACAGGATTCAGAGTTAGGTCTTGTTATATATGGAAGGGACCAATTTCCTCTGCCAATCCAGCCTTCCTACATAGGAGAGTCTGAGACTAAGCCAAGGTTGAAGCAAGGCAGGGCCAATTCTTTCTTGATCCTAAACTTCACACTTCTTCAGCAGAAACTGTATCAGCTCCCCTCATTAGCTTTCAGGGTGTTCCTCCCTACCTTTCTTCTTTTCCTTCTTGGACGGTGCTTTTGTGGCAGCCTGCTGCTCAGGCTGACCATTCGTTGTGCTGGCTTCTACTTCGTTAGACATGGTAAGGAGGCAGGCAGCAAACTCCGGCACCAGCTGACACTCAGTGACACCAGGAGGTCCCCAGTAGAGACGTCTCAAATGAACATAACCTACCACAGATACCTGTAGGCAGAGTTCAGAGGTATAATGAGATCATAACACAGCAAATCCAGACTTTATGTCATGAAAGTCCTCTGACTGGTGATTCTTGACTATAGTTTTTCAGATTCATTTTGTTCTTTGTCCTCTATTAGACTGAATCTGAAAACAGGGGAGTTGGTAGAACTGTTTCCTTTGTAATTTCTAAAATGGAAAGAGGGTATGTAACAGATTTTCTTTTAGCAATTAATATCTGGTACCATTTAATGAGTACCTAGCTGAGCAGTTTGTATTGGAGTGTTGGCAAATAAATCTAGTATTAAAGATAGGGATAAAAATCGGTCACAGAGGGGCCTCCCTGGTGGCGCAAGGGGTAAAGATGCAACCTATGAAGCTGTCAGCAGCCTCTGCAGCATGAGTTCATACCCGGCCAGGGAGTTACCCACATGGTGCTGCAGATGTCTCCTGTCTCACCCCTGTCTCACCCAAGCTGTTCCCCTCAGCAGTGTATTTCACTCAGTTTGCCTGTTCTGCTCCCTGTTCTGTCTCTGGTGGTTCCTCTTACCACCCCACCTCTGGCCTGTACTCCAGCTCTTGTATGCATAAATAAATAAATAAATCTTTAAAAAAAATGGATCACACATAGAAAATAAGGTTTAACAGCAAAGCAGAAATAAAGTGAATGCTGAGTCTGGTAAGATTGCAGCTGGCATCTGATAATGAGCATTAGAAAGTTCAGTTCTTCAAACAATCATTTAACTATAAAGGCAAGAGTAGAGTTATGAATTTTGTCATTGATACTGGGAAACACTTTTTAAAATGTTAGGACTTTGCATATGGGTTTTTGTACATGCTCTATCCAAGCACTAGAATTGAAAAGGAACCCTTTTTTGATATGAATACTTACATAAAACAGGGAGAGAATGAATGAATATGTGAGATATCTATGATACAACTCATTGAATGCAAATACTTTTCTGCTCCTTTTTAGTGTGACTAGCCCCAAGTCTGTTGTGATATGTCTGTTCCTTAAGCTTCCACCCCTATGAATCAGGGTGGGTAAAAACAGAAAAAAATGCAGAGTCATTGTAAGCACACAGAAGTGAAGTAGCATTCAAAAGATTCTTTCACCTCCCAGGAATTGAAGTTTCTACACAATTTTAGGGAGACCTAGAGAAAGGTTCAATTTCTACATGGACTGAGGACCAAAAGCAAAGAAAAATCATTTGCCATTTCGGAATCCTGTTAAGACTGCCCATGGAGGGGCCTCCCTAGTGGCGCAAGGGGTTAAGCACCGCATTATGAAACAATTCGCAGCTACCCACATGGTGTAGCAGACCTCTCCTGACTTGCCCCCTGCTCCCCTCAGCAGTGTACTTTGGTCGATCTTCTGTTCTGCTCCCCACTCTGTCTCTGGTGAATTCTCTCACCCCCTGCATCTCTGGCCTGTACCCCAGCTCTTGTTTGCATAAATAAATCTTTAAAAAAAAAAAAAAAGACTGCCCATGGGTATCTTAGTTTACATGGAGAATTCTCCTCCCACCGAGAAAAAAGCTCTCCTAATTCTATGTTGAAAATACCCTTTTATCTGAGCTTTTTAACTCAAGGACCAAGTCCATTGCATGGGCTTCTATTACTCTGTTACATATTTAAAAGATAAAAATTAAGTTTCAAGTTTTCACTCCATCTGTTTACATGGCACTTAGTTTGCTTCATGAATATCAGTGTTTTCCTGGAAGTCAGTAGACCCTCGTCTTCCCCAAGAATCTTTAGATATATTTACAGTGTTACTAGACTTTAAAAAACACATGCATCCATAAATATGTAAATCTACATATGCCCAGTGCCATCTGAACTAATTCATTTGGAGATTTAGTGCTCGGTTTTGCTCAATGACACCTGATATAGAGGACTCAAAGCCCTATTTATTCCAGACTTAGCTGGGGACAGCGCACTGATGTTATTTTACTGTCTGAACTCCAATAAATTTGCAGGAACTTTGTAAGTATTATGATTTCAGTTTTCCAAAGAGAAAGTCAAGGCAGAAAAGTATTAAATTACACAGCTGGGAAGCAGAAGCTGATTCTACCCCCAGGCTGTCTGCCCAGCCAGATTTCCCCCAGCATCACCCTGAGCCATCATACTGAGAAGCCTCACTCTAGCAACAGAAGATGCTCTGTCATATACTTTTACTACCTCCACTCCTACCCCCAGAAAAATGATACAGCTAAGTCCTAAGTCCTGAACATTTGAAAGTGAATTTACTTGGGAAAAGGGTATTTGCAATTTTTGTTAAGCATCTTGATTTGGGACCATCCTGGACTTAAATCAGACTCCTGTATATGAGAAATGTTAAAGACTGCTGAGAGATTTTTAACAAAAGTATACATAAACTTTTTAATGTATGTACATGCACCTTTCTTCCAAGGTTGGAAGAGCAAATCTCTCATCACAGACTTTCTAAAAGCCCAAATTACCATTTGACATGTGGAACACAGTAGTCTTGCTTCCAGATACAGAACCCTCTACAGAGAGTAATTCATTTAAATCCAACATTTGAAATTCAAATGCTTAATCCTTCTAACAATGTTATAGAAATGTCAACTGTTCTCATAAAACCTTCAGTAGATTTTATAAAGAATTGATATTTTAAAAAGAATTGGGCATGGAAAAGGAATCTGAGGGTCAAAAAAAGACCCTTTTATTTCCTTTGATTGCTTTCTCCTGTAGGGAACTGTTGAATAAGTGTCCAGATTACATTAAGTTATGGGGTCTGTTTTCAAGCTCCACTAAAATAACAGAATTTTGTTTTTTGTTTTATAAATGGGAATGAGTACATTAAAACAACTAGGTTACATAGTCTTCTCATTCATTGGATTCAATCCAGGGACACTTTTCACCAAGGAGCACAAAATTAATAGGAAACACAAACAGGGTTGTTATCATAAGCAGGGATTATAAAGTAAAAGTGAAAAACATATACAAAGAGTCACATGAACAGTTTCCCAGCTATGCTTAGCTGACTATTCTAGTTCATAAGATGAGCTGCTTCCTTCATTAGAGGCTTGGAGTTCAAGATGAAATATAAGAAGACATATTTGGATGCAGATGAGGCTCTAAAGTTATCATATATTTCTTCTTAAGACATAATATAAGACAGAAAGTTCTGATGAAAACTATGCTAAGTCAATAAAACTGGCTTCCATTTGAGTGATGATCTCTAACATGGATTTTACAAACCTCCTAGAAAGAATGTGGGGACTTCCCCTTTCCAAGGCACAAGAGTCAGATGACTAGGAGGGATTTAGAAGCTTGCAACATCTGTTTTGGTTTCTGAGAAGGCTCTAAGAAGTACATATCAGAAAATGTATGAGTCATCTTAGGACGACTATGTTCTTTGCAAAACTCTGCTATAATTTGTTTAACCCTTGAAGTGATTCAATCAAGATCTCTAGTGTTTAGAACCCTGGAACATCCAGCATAAGGACAAATTGTGTAGGGGCGGATTTGGTTAGTGCCTTCTTATTCTTGATTACTCTTTCCAGGGCCTCCCTGGTGGCTCAAGGAGTGAAGACACAACCTATGAAACTATCACCTGCCAGGGAGTACCCACATGGCACAGCAGACCTCTCCTGACTCACCCACTGCTCCCCTCAGCAGTGTATTTCAGTCAATCTGCCTGGTCTGTTCTCCACTCTGTCTCTGGTGAATCCTCTCACCCCCCCACCTCTGGCCTGTACCCCAATTCCTGTATGTATAAGTAAATAATTTTTTTCTTAAAAAAAGAATGTGTTGGTATCAGCAATGATACTACTTACTGATGCCAAGGTTCTAAAGTAATACCATGACACAAGTTTGCCACCTCCCTCCCAGCCTACCTTTTTACCCTAATTATATAGAACAGGGATGAATGTGCTTGGTGAGTCACAAAATGCTGGTAAAAGAAATAACTTGATTAAAGGATTTATTTAATGGTAGCTCCATTCCACAAATGTTAAAGAATCTGTTTTTAACAGTAAGGGGACCAATACTTCCTAAACATTCAAAATATTTACACTGACAATCCAGGGATATTACTAGACTCAGTAACATAAGGCCAATCACTCATAAGTTGCTGAGCTCAAAACTGAACAGTTAATGTTCCCTCTTTTTTACTATACATGCTGCTGCTCTTATTTTTAAAATCCCACTGATTTTTAACCTATACTTAATAAGCTTATTTTCAAAATCATAATCCTATTGACTTTAATGTACCAGTTAACTTTTCAGAAAGAGTTGCATAAAATGGTCATCGGGAAGGTAATCAAGGAGAGTCAAGAACAAAGCAATATAAATGTCTTGGCTAGAGTGCCTAGAACTTTGAACCATCAGAAAATGTGCTTCTGTGTCCTTTGGAACTTGATGAGTGTCTCAGCTGAGGTGCAGAATTAGGATTTGTGAAATATTAACCTTTAAGGCAGACTTTGGGGTCCAAGAGGGCAGCAAACAGCCTTTGCCACTATCTTCAAAGTAGCCTTTGGAAAATAAAGGACGGTGCCAGTGAAGTGAGATTGCTTCTGATACTTATTGTAAAATGTTTCTCCCTTGATCCCTTAGATCCCTACGCTCACAGGGATGCTTGTTCTAGTTTGCAAAGGCCAAGTTGAATAGTAAGATTTTTGCAGCCTGTTTAATTAGGGAAATGAGACGATGTTAATGCACACTAAGGACTCCTTAAGAGATTTTCTTGTAAATGCTGACACTGCTGTAGGGGCCTCAGCAACAAGACAGGCCTGAGTCACAGAGGTATACACAAGTTAGGCATTTACAGAAAGTATGGAACATCGCTTTTAACCCTTGGAAAGGATGTTGTAGGTCTTAGAGGACATAAAACATCCAGAAAAAAACAAACAATTTTCTCTACCTTTAGAACAATTTCAGACCAGAGTTACAAGTTCCCCACATACTAAATTTTGAGCAAAGGTGAGATAACAAAGCAGCTAAGAGTTCCGTCTTGGGAGCCTTACACATTTTCATCATTTTCT